CTGCACGGCTCGCTGGGCGGGTGACGGACGGGTTTTTGGCGGGCAAATCTGGAGTATTTGCGATCAGTGTTCATTGCAATTTAAGACCGTATGAACAAGTCAGCAATAACGGTCAAATTTTGAGGTGCATGTACGAGGTCTGATCCTTGAAGTACATGTTTTGAACACATGGCTGGTTGCGCACAAGATCCTGTAAGATAAAGTAACGTGGTGTGAAATATCTTCCGACTTGCAGTCAAGGCTGATCAGATGCCATGCGAATCAAACACAGCCTCAGCTTTGTGGGCAGCGCTATTGATGGACATAGGTGGCGGTAGAAAGCAAATGTCATGCGTGCGTACTATCTCGTATTTGACATTGTGTGCTTTGCCCTGGTGTATAGACGCAAGCACATATGCATAACAATACAAAAGACCAAGCATACAAGTGGCATGGTACAAGCTTCGAAGGTGGCATCAACCCAGCGTGTTCTACTGGTGTGTACATGTGTTAATGTGTTATGGTCGCCATGTCACGTGGTCGGCCGGCGGCCAGCCATGTGTCAAGTGACTGCACCCGCCTGTCATGTTTTAATCATGTTATGTCACGTGCCTGTGCACCCGGCTATCATGTGATGATCATGTCATGTCATGTGACTGCATGCCCGGCTGTCATGTTTTAATCATGTCATGTCATGTGTCTGTGCACCCGGCTGTCATGTGATGATCATGTCATGTCATGTGACTGTGCACCCGGCTGTCATGTGCTAATCATGTCATGTCGCCTGACTGTGCGCCCAGCTGGCATGTGATGGTCATTTCATATCATATGACTGTGTGCCCGGCTGTCGTGTGAGGATCATGCCACGTCACGCGACTGCACCCCACTGTCACATGATGATGATGGGCTGCGATGTGACGTCATATGATAACTGCACCCGGCTGGCCAGGTACAGGCGGCCGCCGTGGCCAACACCGTTCCCCGAGGACTGGCCGCGACGTGGTGAGAGGCGGCGCAGGCAGCGACGCGTGATGACGCGGACCCCCAACAGCTGAGTATCATGCGTGGCTGTACGGTGACGAATGGCAGATGTAAAAAGCTGCTTGTTTCGTTCATTTGTATGCTTGGAATTGCGCAATTTTATGTGAAGTATGAACCATTACGCAAATCGGTCGTTTTTGGACTCATGGCCAAATCGGCCAATTTGTTGACACAATGCTCTTGTGCGCGTTGGCACCAGTTTGGGAAAAAATTGGAATTGGTCGCGTCTGATATCACCAGTCGCTAGATTCTGTCACATCTGACGTCACCAATCGCTAGACTCTGTGATGTCTGGCACCGGGTCAGTAGCGTATAGGGCGGTTTGACCTTGCTAACCCGCGCCCGGGCAGGGGAAGGGGAAGTTAACTTCCCCAAAGGTTTTTGAGTGGAGGTTAAAAAAAAAATGAGCGCTCGCAGCAACAACACATTTTCAACACCTATTCACTTATCAATTTGGAATCCTTTTTAAATTTTGATCTACCAAGATCAGTGGCTTAAGTCAGGTCAAGGACGTAAGCCTCTAAAAATACTTTGACCACACACAACTTTTTGTGGGACATTTGCCATTGTTCAAACTTGTTACAGTAATAGGACTTGACAGCATCGACAGCTTGTTCATTTCAGATCTTTCGAGACAGGCGGGGTCAGTGACTTAAAACCCAGTGAATTTTTGCTGTGCTCTATAAATAAGTCAACTTTGTAGTATTTTGTGTAGTTTACGTGTTTTCATATGGGACAGGGATAAGTGTAATGCCTAAACAGAGGACATGGTTCCTGGCTCGGAATCGTTGTTTTAGACACAGACGCTCACGTGCCAGGGCGCTGTTTTAGACACAGACGCTCACGTGCCAGGTCCGCAGTATTTTATGAAGTTCCGTCGTTCTCGGTGTCTGGGTTGCTCAATACTGTCATGGCATAATAGCGCACGTGCCATTTCCCAGGACGCAAAGGCTTTCGTTCCCATCTACACATGTTTGAGGCCGCGCCAGGAGGTCGTAAATATCCTCAGAATTGCATGAAACAATGAAGAAAACGAACAAAAAATCTGACTTGTCCAAAGCCATGAACGCTCTACATAATACGTTATGAATGCACTGATTACGCAATCATTGGTTTTGTTATGACTAACCCCGACGTTTTCGATGATTAGCGGTTGACATTAAATGACACAGGATAATTTGCCGAGGATTACTAGGAAGCAGCGCAGCCGTGTGTGTAGAGCGGTGTTGGTCGCGAACATGCAGATACTTACAGATCTTTGGAAACATATCCTGTGCTTTGGCTGTCGCCTGAACCTTTGCACTCTCAGCAAACCAAAACTAAAAAATGCGTGTTACTTTTGAGTTGTCATCTTGCAGTGCTTCAAAAGGGCAACCGAACGCAGAGCTGATCGAAGCTGGAACGTGACAGATGTAGATTAAGAGCCATGTTCCAATGAACATTATATTTACACTTCTTTCTGGCCTTTTCTGTCCTTTTTATCCTTTTTCCTTTGGATTCTTTCTGATGTGTTGTTCTAGTTTTGGAAAGTGGAACCTGATATTGAACGTTTAGAGCCATTTCGATTGAGTGCCATTTAGTATCATTGTGGCAGTGACACTGCGTGACATTGAGTGATTTGAGTGAGATTTAGATGGCATGGATTGTTTGAATTACGAATCACAATGTTAAAGTGTGTCAGTTAATGAACTTCTGCAGTGTTCCGCATCTTGGGTGATGGTACGAACCGATTGTTAAATAATTTTAGTCAAATGCCTAGATGCCAAATACCAGCGTAAGTAATGCATTCATATTTTCATATGATTTGAAAATAGCTTGAGGCAGGGACGCGGCCAAGTAAGGGGTCCAGGCCCTCCTACCCTCAAGTCCGGATTTTTCCTTCTTCACCATAGAAACCTTCCGACAGAAAGTTAAAAATCGGCGTGGTGCGTGATCATCGAGCTCCGGGCCCCTTTCTTAAAAAGTTCTGGCTGCGCCTCTGGCTCAAGGGCTCATCAGACGTAGGTGGAAAACAATATGTGTACCCGTAAGGCATGTACATTTTGTCCACCATCATTCGAGTTGTTGGGATCAAGGCACGCTAACACTTCGGAACTTTTGATTTGATATGTGTTTCATCATTTTGCAATGATCTCTTTTCAAAATGGACTGAGCACGCGTAGCCTAGGATGTATCTGGGGACCGATATGCAGCTTTATGCAGCCACGTATCACAAATCCAGCGATGCAATTCAGATGAAACGATTCTATATGACGCCAGAAACTGCCTGCATTTGTGAACTCCCCCGGTTCTAGTCTCGATGATATAAATGCACGCTTTTACCAGCCGTTCTAATTAACCAACAGTCGACAGCACTTTATGCTTTTAACCGGTTGTCTCTATGTCTGCTTTTGGTGTAAAGACTTCACGGCTGGTGAACAATACAGTGGTTTAAGGCTGGTTACGATCAGTGTGTCATCAAGAGCGTTGCCATGAAGCCATATGTTTGCGGAACTGTGCCCTTACACCTTGATGATTCGGAACAAAAATGTGCTTTTTGTGACCGGCATCACTAGCAACTTTACTTGCCGCAGTCATCAAATGACCTGACATGAAATGCACTCAAACAAACTCTGGCTCTCTGACTCTTCATTGCTTTCACTCGTAAAGGGTATAGTACACCATTTTGCAGTCGCATCCGACCAATGGAAAAACTGTTGGAACGATGTTTTCCGCAATCGCCATTCGTCACGAAAACCACTTGACGTCGTATGGGCGCCCTCCGGGACGGCTGAGCCGAACGCGCTCCATTCGCAGATTGGATGAGATGTTTTGTCGATCGGCCTAGAGCGGCAGCGAAAAGGTGTAGTATGGCTTGATGCGAAACAGAGCTGGCAAGACAGAAAGCGCACAGAAATGTTTCTGTATTCAAGGCGTAAAGATACGCCGCACATTCTTGCAGTGAGCTCCAGAAACTACGGCGCTCATGTTGGACCCAGAGGCCTTAGGTCGAGCCGAAATCCAATCCGGGCTTCCCACATGGGAGTACGCGTCATTACTGAACCGGCGTGACGGGACGTCGTGGTGCAAGTCAGGAGTTCGTACCGACGGGGGGTTATGGGCTCCGCCGCCGGGGCACCACATTCTGAACTCGTGGAGGAGCTTAACATTATGCCTGTGCAGAGTTGCGTAAAAAGCTAACCCGTGGATCGTAACCGAAACCATGAGGAAAGGAACAGGCCTGACGCGCAGCAAGCGTTTTCTTTCACATTACGTAAGGGCGAGGTCCATCACCTTCGTGGGCTTTCTTTTGTCCGGTTCTAAAAACGTAATTAGTATCTTGACCTGTGATTTGATTTTAAAATAGGTGAATCAATAGAAGTGCTCAGCCGTTTTGTTTCACCTACCAGCCGTTACATGTCACATTCGTTTTGCCACAGATTGGTTGCATGCATGCAGCCCGCAATAAGTGATTGCACATTCTAGAAACGCTCCAGGCTGAAGCCCACTGCTTTTTAAATTTCTTTCAGGGCTCACGTAAAACTTAACAGCTGAACTGCCGTGCTGCGTGACTATTTTTCAATACATACCTTTCTTAATATTTGAAATTGAAGAATGCAACACGATCCATTGATAAGAATGATGCAGCACGAACATTACGTACCTTTTCGTTTGTGCAGTAGTATGGTCCACATCCGTTCGGCACAGACACATTTAAACGAAATATTCTTGCAGGCCAAACGAAAAACCCAACGGATGATCAGACAAAGCCGTATTCTCTATCGCACCATCAGACAATTTCAAAATCGATGTACCTCAGCATAATTCGTGTAAGTAGGATCAACCGAACCCGCTATAATCATAATATCACTCAAATTGGCACCAAGGAAGATAACTTGACGTCATAGCTTACTGATGACGTCAAACCACAGAATAATCACGTGTTCTGCTGTTGTCCTGTCGTCACAGCTGCAGCTCTCAGGGGCCGCAAACGCCCTCACCTGGCCCGGCTCCCAGCTCCGTGTCATGGCAGCTGCATCCCTCAGGAGCCGCAGACGCCCTGACCTGAACCGGTCCCAGCTCCGAGTCATGGCAGCTGCAGCTCTCAGAGGCTGCGGACGCCCTCACCTGGCCCGGCTCCCCCCAGCTCCGTGTCATGGCAGCTGCAGCTCTCAGAGGCCGCGGACGCCCTCACCTGGCCCGGATCCCAGCTCCGCGTCATGGCAGCTGCAGCTCTCAGAGGCCGCGGACGCCCTCACCTGGCCCGGCTCCCAGCTCGTGTCGTCCCCGACGGTCGACAGCGCGGCTCGGTGGCACACTGCCGACGGCCGCTGCCGCCGACCCCGACGCCGGTCAGCGCGCGCCGCCCCCCTGGGAAGAGGGCGGGGTTGGGGAGCACTCAGCATCGGCGGGCCCCAGAGGTTATGGGAGGGCAGCTCACTTTGATCTGCCGGTGGCGCCAGAAATCAAATGACCGCAAGATTCGATAGAAGCGTGTCGCCCTGCTTGGTGAGTTAAAGGATGGCGTGTGCGCGGTTTTCCAGCCGTGTTTTTCCATCCGTGGTGCTCCCATGTGGTCATCATTGCCGGTGATGCTCTGTGAAAGTGAAAAGGTGGCTAGTTTCAGATGAAGATGATAATGAGAGCCATGAAGAGACATGTTGCGTCGGCGCGAAACGTAAAGCATTTTTCACCATGAGAAACGTCAGCCCGCAGAAGTGGTTTAGTTTGTCCCACAAGGATGTTCAGCGGCGAAACGCCTTGTACCTGGTTTTCATGTCGGCAATGTCCGGGTTCAGACCCCTCTGCGAGATGTGATGCAGTTCTCCGTCATAACATAGGTCATAATTGTGGTTGCAGCACTTGCCTCGAGAAACCATGGCAGTTCAAGTCGCATATAAAACACGTTAAGTTTGTAAAATCCGCGCACTGAAAAAATAATGGGTCTCCATGCATCAATTCGTAATTCGTACGCAAAATTCATAACAAGACCCAGGAACTTAGTTCCAGTCACACAAGCGTGCGACAAATTCCGGAAAATGGCCTTAAACTATGTCCCTAGAGCTAATTATACATAAGAAGCTAGCAGAAGCGTTAAACAACAACGAGTGACACTTGCCATCTTGCTGCAGCCGAAATTTGAAGACGTTTCTGGGTATCTGAACCGCTTTTGGTTCAACGACGAGGCCCACCGCCACCTCAGTTGGGCAATGAGCATGCAGATGCCGTGTATGGGCCCCAGAGCTACCAGACATCGTTCGGAGAGCCCGCTGAACAGCTCGAAACTGACAGCGTGGTACGCCGTGACTTTCAACGACTCTCTGGACTTTTTCCAATGTGAAGATGAATTCAAGGCAACTGCCAACAAGCAGTGGTACGTCGGCAGTTGGAGCGCTTCTGGAGACAGCTGGGGCAAGACCCCAAGGGTGAAATGGAGAACATCTAGTTCCAGCATAACGGGGCGATTTCATACACGTAAGGGTGAACCTGATCTCCTCGGAGGACTCCTTCGGAGAGCGCATCATCCGCTGAGAGACGGACGTTCCGCGGGTGGCCATTATCCAGATCTGACAATTTTTTGATGACTGTATATGGGGATCCCTGGGATATTACGTCTGCAGGAAAAGTCTTCAGGATGACCATAATGGGGTCATCAAATCGGCCAGGGGTGCGCAAGATGATGCCTGACTAATCCGCCAGGGTTATCGATGAAGTTGTAACGCGCGCAGAACTCTACCTTCATAGAAAAGAGAGTCACCTTGAGTATGTCCCTTATTAGTTTCCGTAGTGATAGCCAATTGAGAACAACCCACGTCACTCCATTGTGTGATACATCCTTTGCATGCATACTTTTATGAAAAGAGCTTGTCATTTCAGAAAAGTGAAATCCGCGCACATTCATTCGACCCTGTTATATCTAACCGGATGTTCTTCGTAAGAAAAATGTATGGGATTAGTTCGAAACTTTGCTTCCATAAAAAACGCCTGTAGATGAGGGCTGGAATACAGGACCTGATACTTGCCTAGCATGCTCCAAGATATGGTTCCCCACCTCCCTTAACCCGGCATTGGCCGGGCTCCTCAGCGGCATACCTTTGACCGGAAGTTGGCAGATTCGACCTCCTGCTTATTTAAAGAACCGCCTGGCCGAATTAAAAAATTCGAATAGCAATCGATAGAGCCGTAGCGCGCGGGCTCAGACCACACAACAAAGTTAAATTTTGTGTGCATTAAGGTCCCAGGTCAGGTCAAATTCTTAGCATGCTGCTTTGGAACATCTGCCCGATCCCACGACGCATTTTATTTAAATATACACCCCGCGCCAGGCCTAAAGCCAAGGTCACGCCGCATGCAAATGAGAGCTGAAAGCTTCATTTATCTTTGTATGTTTATTCTGGTCTCTTTGTTTCCGTCATATTTGAACCACCTGAACGCAAAGTGGGAGAGCTTAGCCGCGATAATGCGTATCAGATACGTGAGCAAGAGCTGTTACCTGTTCATAAACTGTATAAGGTCAAGGTCAACTGACTGACCGCGGTGGTAAACAAGTGGTTCGATGCACGTTGATGGTGTGATTTGTTATGGAAAGCCAGACTATCCAGTTAGGTGCCCGCGTACCATTCGTTTGTGCGATAGGAAACAGTTCTTCTTACATGTTTGATGTGGTAAAGTGGGGTAGCTGGAGGACCAAGATCATATCAGGTCAACCTCATAAAAAATGAATAATTTAAAAAGTCCTGGCCCGATGTCAATGCCTGGAACGGTGTTCAATACCTCTGCTACAAGCGATCACGTACAAACGACAGTAAAAGGGATGACGATATATTTGTTCTTTTCTCGCGACCATTGACACATAAAATCGGTTTTCACGTTGTTTTCAACCAACGCAACGTTTCGCGACCAGATATCATTCAACCCCGCCGCCAGTCACGTGGTCGTTGGTTTGCGTGTGAAACTGGTACACGGCTTCCACTGCCCCATCACCGCGCTGCCGCGACATACCCGGAGCCTCGCCGCCCGCCGCCGTAGGTCCCGCTCCGCCTGGGCACGGGCAACAGGCGCGGCGATGCATCTTAAGCCATAACTCAGTCATTGTTGCAGATAATTGTTTTAAATTCGATACAAGAATCTTTGAAGGTCGTAGCTAGGATATCTTCTTTTCTGGCTTCATAACTTTTACCTTGAGGGAAAACAAACATTGAGTGTACTTTCTATCTTTTTTATTTGCATGACGAATTTCAATGCGCAGTATTTGAACAGTGCAACGACAAGGCACGTGAATGATCGTGAAATGGGCTGTTGCTTACCATTTGACGGTATCAGATATATTTTTCGTTCGCCTTCTGTGTCAATTTGCCTACGGCCGTGCGCATTTATCCCAAATCGGCAAGCATGACGTCACTCTAGCGTCACTCACGCTTGATCTATTTTAATCTCGTGGCTGTTATTGTAACACAAGGCGTAGAACTCATCAACTGGCAGCTACTAAAAATTTTGCAGCGATACTTCAAGGAGGTTCTTGAATCATCACAAATATTGGACAGGGGGCAAATTTGACCGCACCCCTGTCCATGCCGGGTTAAAGGGAGTGTCCCATCTTTGGGGCATATTCCAAAACATTGCCTGGTGAAAAGTCGTGACTAGTTACGTCTTATGGTAACACTGAATAGTACAGGTGCAGCACTGTCAAATCATAGTGAAGATGCCGATTTTAACTGTTTTCTGGTCCAAATTACGCTGTCAACACATTGTAACAGCACTGTGCTTCTTCCCTGCCATCGCGACGAACGTCGTTATGACAACGACCGTGCGTACCTCTACCGGTGCAAGTGGTTGGCCCATCGGGCAAGGGTCTGTTGCTGAGAAGTTGGTTTGCTGTGTTTCAGCCGGTGCGTTACATGAATGTGATACTTTGATTTCCAAAGCCAAAGCACGCCTCGAAAAGAGCCACTGGGGTAACCACCGTAGGTGAGAAGCCAAAACCATAGTATAACGTTTCCATGAGTTCGTGGGATAAAAGCTTCATGTTTGCATATATTTTTGTGTAAACAGTGTGTTTCAAGATTTTGTAGCATTTATTTCACAAACTTTTGAAGCATTATCGTTTTACAAACATTACAGGGCACACATTTTGGAAAAAACTTCACCCGCAGCGTCGGCTACTTTAAATCGCAGTTCTGTTCTCTTCCGAAGGATTTCAAGAAAACTGATCTTACTGATTAAATCGTACGCCTCTTATGTAACAACAAGTGAGAAGTACAAAAAAAGGAGAGATACTCCCTTTAAAGAGGTCGGTGACACCATCCCTGGTTCCTGGGCTCTCTCGTTATGTCTCTCTAAGTGACTGACTAGGAGGCAGACAAGAGTGACGCCGACAGCCTAGATGAAGACGATTCCAGGTCAGCTGATGTCTGGTCCTGCATTCCGGAGATGCCCCAAAGCAGCCATGACCCAAATGTGAACAAAACTTTAAAAACTTTAACTGACACGGTCAGGCTGACAAAGCTGACGCAACTTCACCATTTCTGATAGAGGTCGTATCATAATCTATTTTGTTTTAACATATTCTGACAGTTAGAACTTTTTCAAATTAATAAATATTATCTAAAAAACGTAGGCTGGCCAAAGGCGAGCATGACAAAAACGTCCCCACACAAAGTCAAGTGACATAGGTGTCATATTTTTACAAATTCATCTCTTATAGCAATGATGATGATTTGTTGTGTGCCTATAGCATTCGACAATTAGGAGCTTCTCAAATTGGCATCAGCTTATGTCGGCTAGTTATTCAAAGAATGGCCGTTGGAACAAAAGCCAGCCGGTCTGCGTTGTCGCTTCAGCTCGGCTGTTAACTAGTGATTCTATTGCATTGGGTCAAATATTTCGTCGCCCGATTTCAAAAGTAGGGTCGCGTTCCCACGTTCTCCGCGGTAAGATCCGTGTAAGGAGCCATAAATCTGCCTTTTGAAAACTGAAAACTTTCCTCCCGCACTCTGGTGTAAGTCCAGCGCCTCCCTGTGCCTGTACT